GCTTAAGCAACCAAAACGTGTCACTTTACACCGTGACAGATGTCGGGCTGTACAAAATGTGAACTCTGTGAAGATTATGTAACAGGGAACATTGATAACATTATGTTATCAATAGCTTGCACTCAATCACCCCAATTATTAGAAAGTGGCAGACAAGCCATGTTACCACTCTATACTAACAGCATAAACTATACCCATTCAAAGGTTGTAAAACATCAAATTAAATCATGGGCCCGAGGGGTACATGTGTAGTCCCTAAACCACAATTAGAAGTAGGCGAAGCATGCCATTTTTTGGCAGAGGGGAGGGGAATACACTGTAACACTGACGTATTGCAGAGCATCCTAGATATTACAACTTGAACCTTAGAACCACCAAGGAATTGCGAAATAGAGGTAAGATCTATAATATTATAGAGTCTATCAACACATCATTTAGACAACACAACCACATCGGTTTAGTTTAGATTAACACTAGTAATCAGGTTGGAAGCCACTGGAGGCTATGATACACAACCACACAACCACTATCCCCAAGTGGGAACATGAATCACTGGGGGTGGCAACACCGGGCAAAAGTTATCTCAAACTACACCAAGAGAACACATTTGTCTCCTCAAAGACCGGGTAGACTCGAACCCACCACACTATGCTCCCCTATAGAAATTGCTTTGCTCTAAACTCTTTTTTATAGAGGCTCTAACGTCTTATTAGAGGTATTATCGACACTTGTACAATGTCCCAAGGCCCTCCCCTTGGATGTCGTGACGATCAAACAACACACACGTACTGTATGCAGGGTTTTAGCTAGGGAGAATTAAGGAGGGGGGGGGGGAGACTGACCCACTTGCAAACATTCACTTCCAAAAAGACTCTTCATGCATCTATTACTACGGCCTACTAAGTATAATATACGCTTCTGAAAGCAGGGAACAAGGAGAGGGGATTAAAAAACGGGGGGATAAACACCCTGACTGCTTCCCTGCTTTAGCTAAAACCCTGTATGATGATGATACATGTACATACCTATCAATTTCTTTACATAAAGTTACAGTTCAGATAGATAAAAACATGGAAAAAAGCATAAAGTGCAACCCCTCGGCGAAGTAGGCTCGCACGGGAAGAAGATACAGCAGTCAGATTAGGAGTGTGTGTGTTTTTATGGGAATTGCGTTCCTGTTGAGTGAGAGTGATAACGCAATCGTTTGCGGGTCCTAAAATATTACACGCATTGACGCTATCCTGCCCAGCGATAAATGGCGACTACCGGCATAGCCATACAATGTGGAGCGTCTAGCTCTGCAACGGAGCATTTTCAGAGAAAACGCCACATATTTCTGACTTCGTCGCACGTTGGGTAGATGGTATCGTTTATGGGACGAACAGAATTGAGGGGTGAGACGTAGAGAGTACGACACAACACAGACAAACCTCAACGACAGTCAGTCACCCTCCTGCGCATGCGCGACGAGGCGTTGGGTTTAACAAACACATCCAACAAACTTCCTGTTTGCAGTACCCAGAAGGGCTCCGTGGATCTACATGTTGCACGGAACTTCTGTTACAGTCACTGACAAGTGCAATGGAACTAACACACGTCCTTTTGGCCACTAATACAAGCAAACTCGACGGAAAGCCTTTGCTCATGGAGACGCTACGCTACACCAGGTTCTAAAAGACAGCTGTGCACATATATACATGTACACAAGTCGTCGTTGTACATTTTATATAAATGTATTTGTATAATGTTATTATACCAGATACAACATGTGATGCAAGCACACTCATGTGCTTGTTGTGTAAGTGTCACGCATATTATTCTTATGACATGAGTTAGCACACAGCAAAAAACGCGCATAATGCGCAACACTTCTCTCTCCGTCGTGTATAATGTACAATGTACAATGTAGCTCAGTTGGTAGAACTAGAAGCTGAGTGTCGTGGGTTCGAATCCCACCAAGGGCAGCTCTTCTTCTTTCAGATGTCCCACACAACTACTAAGAAATGCAAAAGCCCACACCATACTATATTATGATTCTCCACAAATAATCTCCATACTCGAGATGCCGAAGAGTTTGTGGCAATTTCAACCTATCTAAGTTGCATCGTGTACTGCGTAAGTTTCAGAGGTTTTATATTTTCTATGAGTCTATAATTGTGGGTGGGGGTTAAAGGTTGTTTTCTTTTCCTCTCATATTATTAACCTCGGCGCGCATGCGCAGCAAGGTTACTGTGTCGTTCTGTCTGTGTGTGTGTGTGTGTGTGTGTGTGTGTTGGTGCGACGCTTATTCTGTCATACAGGCTACGAGGCGGCCAGTTAGCGATTACAGCGGCTCAGTACTACACGAGCCTGAAAAATAAAAGGGCGTTTTTCGCTGACACGACTGCGTTCGAGAGATATGCCGTGAAAACAAGCCAAAAAGCCAATATGCATAATCACATGGCTGTACTGCGACCTGATTGCTCGCTCTGTGTATATACCTTGGGGCTCAGGAAGTCACAACGAAGGTGTGTATCGACTCCAGCGTGCATCTACTACTGTAGCTAGCCCGTGTGCAGAAATACGCAGCTACGAGGATTAGCGGGAGACCACGAGTAACGCATACTACTAATAGCCCAGCCCATCAATTAGCAGTATCGCGCATGCGCAGTTCGCCGAGGTTTGCACTTTTGTGCTTTAGCTGTATTGTAGTAGTGCTATAAACATCTTTTTTCATATATAGTTGATGTGCCTCTGCCATTCCACGTCGTAGCTTTCAATGTTCATATAGCCTTACCATTACACCTCGCACGCGAAGGAGGACAACATGTTTGTAGACAAAAGTATGCTCATGTGAAATGATTCTCAGACGCTCTGCACACACACAAACACACACTAAATGCCCCATACAGACAGTATGGGGCCACCACTACGTACGTACTCAAGAGGCAAAAGCTAAATGCCTGGTTTCGGGTACAGTCACCATAATTTTGAGACTAGTTACATACATGACCAACACTACATTCTTACGAGATGTAGAAACTACATATATACATTTCCCTGGAATCATCCTATGTACAAAGTGGCTAGACAGCAGGGTATAGTGGTCTAGTGAAGAAGAGAGAGAGACTACGGACAAGGGAAGAGAGACAGGGGGAGAGAGGGAGACTCAAACAACAACCGCCAGTGTACAGTGGCAAAATGCGAATTTTAAACGCCTTAGCTAGAGAGCCGCACCAGAATACCCCACGCGGTAAACAGACACATAAAGGACCGCGGTTGACTTACGGAGCGCTCTCAGAATACAGGCGGAAACAGAATGGTGACCGACGGTGTCTGCATGGGTTCCTTGGGCGAGAAGACAGATGGGGCACTCCAGTCGCTCTCGGCGGCGGCGGTCGAACTTTGCGTCGTATCCTCCATTCTCTTCCTCGGCTAAGCAGTCGGTCGAGTAGGGGAGACCGCAAAGTGGTAGAGAGTGCGAGAGTGGAGAGAGCGGAGCGAAGTGCGGGGGAGAAAAGGAAGTTTGTAGACCTGGGCGCGGGACATGACTCCTCCCAGATCAGTCGCCAGACCGATGCCCCGCAAACAATAGCGCCACCGGACGACGCGACGGCAGCCAAGTCAGCCAGAAAAGTTATAGTAGAGGCGGTGCTGATTGGCCGTCCGGCGGATAAAGGCGAAGGGAGAGAGAGAGGCGTGGTCGATCAGGTCAAAGTAAAAGTTTGTACGTGGTGTTCGCTTGTAATTTGCGCATGCGTATTGTTATAGCGCGGCTTATAATAATGATCCGTACGTACAATACTGTTCAGCTAAGTGTAAAAATCATTATATATACTACTTTAATTTCCTATGAGCCAGCCGTACCACTATGCTACTACAATGTCACAGAAACTGCACAACAGTTTACAAGTGTGCGTTTGTCACATAGAGCTAAAATCACCACACAGTGGTCACAAAGAGGAAATGACAAAAACTTTCCCACCACTGCACCGTCCTGGAGTACTTACTCCACACTTACTCCACAGTTGGAATCTGCGACCTGGTGCACGAGGAGTGATTGTAGATGTTATGACAACAGCATCCCAGTTGGTTTTTGAACCTGATGCAGGGCAATGAAACAGTCAAACGAGCAATTGTTACCATTTCCAAATGCAGGTCGCAGTTATTTTCACATATAGGACGTGTTTGAAGCTTCTCTTGGGCTAGAAAATAGTAGGCACATTGACAGCATACTGTTCTCATAACAAAGGTCTTTGTAATACTGAGCTGACGCTCACCATCTTCGCAGGATTTCAGGAAATTGAGTAGGGCTCGCCGCACTCCTCATCACAGTAGACCAAGTACCTCTGCTATTCAAACTGGAGATTTTCCATGAGGTAGCGATCAATTTTCAGTTGGTACTGGCTGTAGTACCACTCAATGTATTCTCCTGCTAGCATACCCCAAAGAAGATTTCTTGCCGATTGATCCTTTCATCGATTGATTTACTTTCCTGGAAATTGTAGTTGCCGTGTGCAATCTGACTTGGTTTCAACATCTTTTACAGTGGAGTGCCCACCGTGGTGAGACATCCCGAGTCTCTACAACGATAAAACATATCCGGAGAAGAAATCAGAACACCAATGCACGAAGACACCTCTCTATAGATATAGCTACTGCAGTTCTGAAGATGAAGATGCTTTCTCACTATATAGATAGAATATTGGCCACTTTTAGCTACTGAGTGAAGTTCACTGCCAGGTCCTTAGAGACCAAATCAGATTTTAATGTCAGGTGTGTATCTAGACAGATAGCTCTGGGTTGTATACATCTCATAATGGGAACTACAGACTTGTGTAGCTGACTGAATAAGAAGCCTCATGATCATGCTAATGCTATGAGAAGTAGCTACTCATGAACGATTTTATTAGGACTTTGGTTCTATCACCAAAAAAATACTTTGCGAAATTGGTGATGCGGGTCGCAGCCTACGATCACGCATGCGCACATCCATCGCACGAGTGGAAGGTCAAAGTCTTAAGCTCCGCGGAGTCGAAAGCCGAAAGCCAAGCCACGAGGCAGTATCACTCTGATCAGAACCGACAATGTTCTCTATGGGGCTAACGGACATGCAAAGTAAGCCTTACGTCATTGCAAACCTATCTACACAGAAAACTATTAGCTTTTTGACTCTTGATATTCTAAACAGAGTGCACTTCCTCATATTGTACCCATGCATGCTATTCCTGAATCAAATCAGGAAAGCAGTCCAGCTAAGCAATTTTCTCTTTCCGCCCCTCCCCTCTCTCTCTCTCTCTCTCTCTCTCTTGTCCTGCAGAGATCGGATTAGGGCTGGTGGCATTTGGTCTCGGTTTTCTCTCCCTCGGCGTCGTCCTGTTCTTTGACAAAGGACTGCTGGCCATGGGAAATGTGAGCATATTGATTACCGAGGCACTGTGCACAATTAACATTGTACAAGAGCGATTGCATTGTAGTGCCCACGACCTATCTCATTTCGTTTTACTGTCAGTGCGTAAGAATTTCATTCTCGTCATGTAAATTATTTGTGTTTCTGCTATATAATCGTTTGGTGTCATCCTGTATTTTTTATTGTCACTACAAATCATTGTACTGTGTGAGATGGACACCTGTGTGAGTGTATCTTCACGCATGTGGTGTGTGTTCGTTTGTTAACGGTTCCGCCCATTGCACTGGTGCGTGGTATATGGCTCTAGTGCTACGGCTGCCACCCGAGATTATTACTGCGGCAGTGAATGAAGAATTGCTTGTTCCATTGCCTCCCCAGATCCTGTTTCTTGCAGGATCATCTTTATCATTGGCATGAGCGGACGTACAGATTCTTCTTCCAGTCGCACAAGTTGAAGGGCACGGCTGCCGGAGGAATGCTCATTGTACTCGTGGGAGCTATCCATCATTGGGATGCTGGTAGAGATTACGGAGCCTTCTTCTGTTCGGAGTGAGCATTTGAATTACTTTTTTTGCAGTGTTTCTAACTTGCAATGCCTTTGTCTAGTTTTGTATGATTCCTTCACCTGCTGTGTTGCCCCGGTAGCTCAGCTGGTGGAGTGGGTTGATTCTGTGCACGTGAAAACTATGAGGTGAAAGGCAAGGCACAACAAACACATGAACTAACCCAGGACAGCTAAATAAAGAGCTGCCCTAGGTGGGATTCGACCCACGACACCTCTGCAGTCTAGGCGAGCACTTACCAACTGAGCTACCAGGCAACTCAGCTGGTAGGGGTTCGAATCTTACAACACAACACAACCAAGGCAGACCTCACACCACTGTGTCTATGGCACAGTATACTCTCACTTAGCAGCACTAAGGGTTAAGATGTAGTACACTAGTGTACGTTGTTCTGGTGATAAAGTTATCCTCTATAGTTTATGATCAATCTGGATTCAAATGGCGGCCACAGAGTGAGCCAGCTAGACAAGCACGACACATAAGAGGAATACGTGATACAAGAGTAAATGCATAACTGCTAAATAGAATGTCTCGGTGTGCAGTTTCTTGTACGAGCGTTCTTTCTAACACATTATAGGGTACTGCTGCCACTGCGGTGCGTGCTATGAGACGGATGCCTATCATTGGACACATACTCAATGCTCCTGGAATCAAAGTGGTATGAAACACATAAGTGTGTGGATACTGTCATACAACACACGCAAATATCAGTGCTGCTCACCGTTTTCAGTGCACTATGCATGAGAATTGAATATCTCCAGATATAAGGGGAAGAGAAGACAAATAGGATTGCAATAGGTCTTAGATTACTACTATATACATACCTTGGTAGCACTCACATAAGATAGAGCTGAGCTTTACATACACCTGGGAAGGTGGCCTTAATTTTTCGTTCTTTTAACGACAATGCGAGAGCAACGATAGCCCTACCGCCGATCCTGGATACCTTGACTATAGCTATAGAATGCAGTGGTAGGATTTACTATGGCATGCGCTTAACCAAGAGAGCTTACTAATTCTCCTGATGTAACATGTGTTTTATGGACGTTAGTCTATATATAGGATATACTGTGCGTCAATGGAAATACGTGATTTGGACGGCACGAGGGGCCCTGAGCTATAGCCGTCTGAGCGTAGCGAAGACGCTACTAAGGGCTCCGAGGCCGTCTAAATCGCGTATTTCCATTGACAAGCAGTATAACCTGTTTAGACGGAGGCCGTGCTGGCCGTAAAAATCGTCCAGGTCCATCATCTTCCGCGAGACTCGCTCTCGCTGGGGGAAGTTTTAAAAATGTCTTCATTTTAGTTTCTTTTTGAGAAGCCTTTCATTGAAGAAGCATCGGATATAGCGAGTTTGAAGTCGTCGCAGCGAGCTCTCACCGACAGACCTGCCACACCCCCATCGAAGACGCCATTTTTTGCAAGCGTCTCCGTGGAAACACACACTTGGAAAATACGGGATTTAGAATCCACGTTTTACGCGTCAATTTGAATCTGCCAACGTACAAAACACGTACAATCATGTGGTATTACTGTGCATTTCTCCACGCTTTTTGCCTAAGAAAACAGACCATCAATTACTACATTATTTGCCAGCTCCTGCCTCCTCTACCACTGCCACCACTACTACCAACACTCCTGGTGAGTTCTGAGCTGATGTAATTATTAGATGAAATTTTTGGCCAGCGGGAGCGATCCAACTACAGATATACAGCCATTGGTGATCACAGGGAGGAGTATAGTTTGTCATCCTCCGCTGCTGGAGGTGTGCCTCTCGTGCGTGCGATGCCAGCAAGAAGGGCGTGCTTTCCAGTCCTCAGCTGGTAGACGCTGCCGCCTGCGAGCTATGTCTCGTGCTCCTTGGCTGTTTCTGGAGCAAGAGGCTGCCTCCTGCGAGCTCCCCTGTGGTAGAGGCGTTGTTGTGCTGGGATCGATGACAATACGCACAGGTGTAGATGCATAGGATTGGACAAAGAAGACTGAATTCTATGGCTTTTGCCTTTGGAACTGTACAAGTTTTAGTGGGTTGTTGTTTCTCAGTTCACTAATCACTTGTTGCCTGGAGTAAAAGAACAATAGAAAAGTGTATCATAATAATTATGTAGCACTTATCCGCAATTAGTTCAGCTGTCTGGGCCTCTGGACTGTCAAAACTGTTTAGGCAAACACACCTCATAAGGAGCATCAAGTGTTTGTGGCTAATCAATGGCTGCCCAGGTACTCCTGCCAATGCCGCCCTAGCAAAGACAGCGTTTTGGTTTAGTCCAGCGAGGGCTTATAGGCCGTCAAACCTACAGTGAAGTTGTAGGTCGATTGTTTGAACAGAGCTCGCTCGCTGCACACCATGGCTTGGGTATTACACATAGTAACAGTAGTGTGGCTCCATTGCATTCCTTGTGGCCACTGGAACCTCCATACTTTCTATATGGGACATACATGTAACTTTGTTAGCGAGAGTCAGACGTAAACACAGGCTGTTTCTACGGAACCTTACGTGCTTTGAACATCTGGTTTTGGCCGTAGTATAGCGGAGTTACGGCGGATTTCCCGACTGTAAGGGGCGTGTATTGCCTGCGCATGCTACCAAGTAGTGTAGCTAGCTCCTGTCTCACTCTCCACGAGCATACAAGAGACCACGAGTACGGTGTTGGTGGTGTTCATTAACGGCCCTTAGTAAAATTAATGTGAGTTTCTACGACATATTTTAATAAACAAGTTCTCACATGTGAGTGCGTGCTAAATGCGAACAAAAACACATGTATGGTGTTGAATTACACTATGGTGTTTTTGCCTAAGAAAACAGACCATCAATTACTACATTATTTGCATACTTGCTTGAAGAACTAAAGTGCATATCCTCTGGAAACTGTGCATGCACAATATTGCTAATTGATGGGCTGGGCTATGTGTATGCATTTACTTGTGGTCTCCCGCTATTAGCTCGCGGAGAGTCTGACATAGGCTAGCTAGTAGTAGATAGCATGCCACTCGTTGTGACTTCTTATGCCTTCAAGGTACACAGAGCGAGCGGATCAGGTCGCAGTAAGCTCAGTGCAATTATGCATATTGGCTTTTTCGCTTGTTTTCACGGCATATCTCTCGAACGCAGTCGTGTCAGGAAATCACCCTTTTATTTTTCAGGCTCGCGTAGTTCTGAAGCCGCTGGTGTCGCTAATAGACCGCCTCGTGGCCTGTAGTGCCAGAATAAGTGTCGACCCACACACAGACAGACAAACCAACTACTGTAACCCTCGCTGTGCATGCGCACCGAGGGTTAATAATTCTGCGTAACTTCAGGCTAAGTATACCTTTAACTCCTAAATTTCAGATCCAACAGCAGCAATCTTGAGAGAAGCCTTGAAGGATGGCTCCCTCAGTCCAGAGTGCGTGGCCCATCCTCTCACTCCTGACCAGAAGATGTGGCTCCCCACTCCTCCAGAAGGTAAGGAAGTCTTCACCATATTATGTATGTACTGGATGAGAACTAAATGAACTTGTGCAGCATCTGGTCAAGGAAAAAAAGGAAAAGAAATCCAAGAAGAAGGCTTTAACGACTCCTCCTCTAACAAGTATGCCTCTATTCTCTATACAACACTTCTGTACATTCTGAAAATACATGACATGCTATTCGAAATTACTTGTTTTCCTGTCTCCTCCAGTCTCAGATGTAGTGCCTACAATGCCACAATTTATCAAGATTAAATTGCCCTCACGAGTTGGGCCCAAAGTGAGTGCATTTGGTACCATTCTTCTCAAAGATGACCTCGGGAACAAGATGGCCAACATCAAAAAGAGTGCCCGGGATGACCCAGTGGAAATGGCAATGGAGGTTCTGAGGGAGTGGCTGGCAGGGAAGGGGGTGGAGGTGTCGTGGGAGAGCCTCATAGCAACTCTGAGAGACTGCGAACTTTCACTTATGGCCGACCAGATACAGATGGCACTGGACCAACTAAGATATTGATGCAATGTATTGTTTTTTTAAATGTAAAATTTTTGTATCACTCCTTGTTTTTTGTATCATCTTTTTTGACATAGTAGGCTCTGACATGAAAATTACATTAGTGTGTGATATGCTTGTACATGATTTTTTTTACTTTTTTACTCCGCGCACATTCCAAGTATCCGAAGGTGCAGACTTCCGTATATTATAGGCCCAACGGTTCGATCGACAATACGCATGCGCAATATAAATCCGCGCATCTCCGTATACTAGAAAAGTAGACCTCGCCCACCGTTCCGGATATCCCAGCGAGCGTGGGGCTCAGGTTCATCTCTTCGCCATTTCTCTCTCCCCGCCCCGTATCCAGGCACGCTCTCTCTCCTCACCCGGCCAGCCAGGCTCCATCTTTAGCTTCCCCACTCGTCCTCGTATCGAGAGGAAAGAAGGACAGCAGTAATGGGCGTCGCTGCAGCTACTCGTGTGGTCTGTCTGTCGGTGCTGTGTCTGTGTGTCGGCGTGAGGGGGTTCTACATCCCTGGAGTGGCGCCCACGGAGTACGAGGAGGGAGACAAGCTGGAGATTAAGGTCCGTTTGACCGTCTCGTGGGATGGGTTAGCGGATGGAGCGGGAGTGATGAAATGGGGGGTGGAAAGCAGTCATCAGACAATGCCTATGACTTTTTCTTACCTTCCGTTCCTCTTAGTGAGGGTTTGTTTCTACATAGGGAGAGGAGAAATCAACAAATCACACCAAAACCAAGAAATCACTTTACAGTTACCACTGGTTGCATGTTCAAATAGCTGCATTTAGGAGTTGTGTAAATATTGCTGTGATCATTCCCCCCTCCCCCTCCCTGCAGGCAGTAAAGATGACAAGTATAAAGACCCAGCTCCCGTACGAGTACTATTCTCTACCGTTCTGTAAACCAAAGGACGGAGATGTACATTACAAGACACTCAACCTTGGTGAGCCACTCTCCATATCTAATGTATGGCGGGTTTAACTTACCTTTCGACAACTTTAAATGTCTCCCTTTTTCTCCCAACAGGTGAAGTGCTCAGAGGTGACAGAATAGTAAACACCCCATACCAGGTAACTTGGGCAGTCCTTGCAGCAGTGGGCATTAAATAGAATACCCACACCTGCTGGGAATGTAACCAGATCGCTTCATAGCACTTTGACCGTTAGCTATGCAACCACTGTCAGTAGGTACTGTATGTACCACAGCCTATGAACTTATCATCCACTTTTCCTGACAAAAGTGTTGGGTATAATATGATGTAACATTTTCATATCTCTCCCCCTCCTCCCAGCTCTCAGTACTGAAGGATCAATACTGTATGATACTGTGTGAGACGGAATTGAACCACAAACAAGTCAAAGCCTTCAGTCAGAGAATTGACGAGGACTACACTTTACACATGTCAGTCTCTCTCTCTCTCTCTCTCTCTCAAGTTAAAATGGACGTGAAATCTTTGTATTTAGCAAACGTAACTAAAAACAGTGCTGTTTTCTGACGTGATTGTCCCTCTCTCGCAGGCTGGCAGACAACCTGCCGGCAGCCACAGTGTTCAAGAACCTAAAGAGTGGAGAGCTGCAGTACGAGGACGGGTTCAAACTCGGGTTCTCCTACACGAGTCACGTCGTCATTAACAACCACCTCAAGATCAGGATCAAGTACCACGCGGTCCCCAAGTCAGTTGTTACAACTCATCTCTTCCAGTTATTGTCACAACATGTCAAACTCAATCACACTGATTTCTCTGCATCACACGGAATTATGCATGTGCCTAATAATTCCCCACCCACCAACGACCTTGTGCTATAAATATACTGAGTACGGTGTTCTAGAAGGCTTACGTCGCAATGCTGTATGTTCAATATTGCATATGGACTACAGTACAGTATCATATCATATATATACACCTGCATGACAATAGTTGCACTTCACTCAGTGGCCTATGTATGTATGTTCAAAACCACTAAGTGTGAGAAATTTTGGTCTTATAAATCAGAATTTACTAAACCATGGTCCCGAAAAACAAAATTGGTAGTTCAATACACCATACGTGATGATGGAACTGGGCTAATGGTTGGAAAACAGTAAATCATAATTTTTTTCTATCGTCCTCTTGCCATCTCTCTCTCCCTCTTCAGACCAGATAAGAATGTCTATCGTATTGTGGGATTCGAGGTGGAGCCTCAGAGCATCCACAGCAGTGCAGTCTCCAAACAGCCCGACGATCGCTGTATCATCAACAAAGACGACCTGAAAGTCATGGAACTGAAGAACTCCAGTTAGTGAAGTAAAGTTAGCCTCTCCTGGTCCACAGACCTCTTCCCGTAACATGGTTACGTAATCACCCACCGGAAAGCACCCGTTTTTAGGGAAGGTGGGAAGAAGGGTATGAGGTTTTTTTTCAGAGTAAGCAGATTGCAGGTTACTTCACATTCCTTGAAACGTCCATTCAAGTTTATTGTTTCCCCATTTTCATCACAATCTGTTTGTCCTTTGCTATCAGAGGAGAAGAGGAAGTTGCCGCTGATGTTCACCTATTCTGTGGTGTGGGAAGAGAGACCTGAGCTGGCGTGGGCCTCACGATGGGACACCTACCTCTCCATGAGTGATGTCCAGATTCACTGGTTTGCCATCTGCAACTCTGTCGCCATCGTTCTGTTCCTCTCTGGTGCGTGCCGTGTCCCGGGGTGTCCTGATTAGTTAGTGGGGTGTCCTGATTAGTTAGTGGGGTGTCCTGATTATAAAAATCCATGCACGTATAAAACCTAAAGCCCTTCACGTAAGGTCGTCACTGCACCTGGAATGCCTCAACGCAAGGGCCCTTTGGCTAATCATTGATGTACCTTGACAAGTGACCTCTCTATCTGTTCCTCTGCTACTCCACCCACCCCAGGTATCCTAGCACTCATCATAGTGAGGACTCTGAGAAGAGACATTGCACGCTACAACAAAGATGAAGAAGCTGTAAGACTTATAGTAGCCAACAACACACAAAGTCTAATGCAACTCCAATGTATGGGAAGTCCTTGCAATAGGAAGTGCTGTATATTAATGCAACATGTGGCACAAACCATACATTGAGGCTGCACAAGACTTTTGTGTCAGCACACAAAGTTGCACTTGCTGAGCTCTTCTTCCTCGTGACTGTTCACCTCAGATTTCTTGACCTTTCTTACCTCCCTCTCCTCCATGGAGACGTGTTCAGACCTCCGTCCTACCCCACCCTCCTCACGGCCTGCCTCGGATCTGGCATCCAGATCTTCTTCATGATCCTCATCATCATTGGT